CAGACAGAACACTAAATAATAATAATAATGCTGCTCGTGTTGTCGAAACGTTGATTAACCTCACATGACTTTGTGATTAACAGGCGTTAAGTTCGTGAGGCTGAATTTTAAAGAACCGAGTATCATCGGGTTGACGTGTCCGTCCACACAGCGTGTGTGTTAATTGTGATGCTCGCTGATTAAGCTGATAAACAGGGGCTAATTGGTGTCCTTGGGGCACCTGCTCGCTTAATACTCTTTCGTGTCGCACGAGTTTGACTGAATCTTGACCTTAAGAGACGAGACACTTGTCAGTTCTCAGACAGAAAAAATATTTTTGCTGAATTCTGTGGCCGCGCGGTCTGAGGCGTGGGTCATGTGCCGCTTGGTCGCTGGGACCGTGGGTTCGAATCCCACTCAAGCCATGGATGTTGTCCTGTGTACAGGTAGAAGCCTTGCGACGGGCCGATCCCTAATCCAAGGAGTCGTACCGAATGTCTATGGATCAAAACAGATGAAAATTGGGATCCACAGTGCTCAGGCACTTGAGGAACGGGTCGATCCCAGTATCCAGTATGTCTCTGTCTCCAGCGTAATTCCGATTTGAAGTAGGCCACGGCTGATTCGTATAAATAGACAGTACGTGGTCACGTGTCTTTGTGTTTTGTAAGAGAAGTTGAGGCTTCTTCGAGCTGTGAGTGATGTTTGTTTATTTTTTAAAATTCTTTGGGCGATTTAGAATGGCATCTCCGCTTAGTTCCGGTATCTGTAATTATGAAGAACGCCCCGTATCCAGACCATGGACCCAGTGTTTGTCGTTCGAACGTAAACTGAGAATAGATGGGAGGTAAGTTTCAACCTGGATCTAAGTGAATGTGGCGTGAGTTTGTACGCTGGGTTATACCTTTTTTTCAGGACTACGACGATGAACCTTTGGGTTCTACAAAGATCCTTCACCAGCAAAGCGACTTTCGTATATTCTGTTCCAATCCTGAAGAAGGAAGTGTCGAGACGGTGAGACTTTTTAAACCTTTCCTGGCAAGAGGTTTCTGAATTATGAATGTTCGACTGCGGGACGTTTAGAAGAGTGAGCCCTGAGGTGACCCACATAATTCCTCGAAAGTCAATTCGCCCCCCGTGTTTTACTAGCGAGTTTGATGATGG